TTACCTGGACTGAAGCTGACTGGCACCTCAACTTTCTCGCCGAAATCCTGCCAGTGATTCTGAAGACGTTCCTTGCGAAACCTTTCGAAACGTCGCGTCAAACTAAACTTTTCGGCGCTCGGGTCCGACGATGTCTTCGGAGTTGATCGTTTCGCGGCCGGTCGTTGACTGACCGGTTTTTCACTGTTTACATGGAAAATGCGGCTTGAAATGCGCGGCGGGAAAGTGCCGATATTTTCCGCCCGGTTTTCCACACTCTCACTCCCATCTGCTGGCGGTAGTGCGAATCGTACTCTTCGAGCCTAGAAAAATCAACAAAGCTTTTCATTCTTGCGTGTTTTGAGTGGAATTTTCAATATGCAGGTACTATAGAGAAAGGTGGTTTTTTTGACCAAAAGCTGAAACAAAAATATCTGACCTTTAAAAAGATGGCAGTAAAAATATCCAATTTTTTTAAATCAACTTGTCTTCGCTCTTAATATCCCAACATTTAATCATTAGTCTCAGTGTTTAATTCAATTGAGTATTTTTGAGCTGATTTTTTATGTACTTTTACCGGTTTATTGGAGGGTTTGTCTCTGTCCCGTTCCATAGAGGCGCTTCTAGCTTCTCTAGCATGCTGTGCATAGCGGCAGTTGCCCGAAACTCTCAAAGGGCCAGTTAGGGAAGTTTTGGCCCCCACAGGGCCGTACCTTAAGGAAGGTAGCTCGGATATTCTTGAAGTGCGCGGCTTTGGTAAGGAAGAAGGCACGCTGGAAGTCTGTGGAAGAACATTTTTCACATAAAACTGGGACTTTTATTTTCATGTGGGTCCGAAACTGGAAACTGCAATATATTTAGTCGCGAATGTCCTCCAATTTAACGGTTATTTGGCCCGCTTCACTGTATGATTATTACGTATAAATGAGCCGAGTCGCATGAATTATTTAGTAAAATCCAATATCAAACCAGATGATTTAACGCAAGGACTCAACTAATAAAAAATGAACGGCAGAAATCCTGTTACAGGACAGGGTGGAATGAGAAAAATCTCAAAAAAACAAACGGTTCAAAAACATAATTTGAAGAGAAGAGAAAGCATTGCCAAACGCGACATGGAAATGATCAACTGATTCTTTAAATAAAGAACATGAAAAAGTTGAGAAGTAAAATTAGAAACAACCAATGAATAACAGGGAGAATGATTTGGATTGCAGATTGGAGTGGAATATTTTTCAATTTTCTCCTTCTCAGCTCACTGCTGTTGAAATCATTCACCATTGAAAGTCCTTTGAAAACATGACCATTATTTCCCAAAATCACCCTTTGCTCCAAAAAATCGCTCCTTCCAATCTAGAGCAAGCAGACCCTTGAAACTTTCGCCGTCCATAGAAGACAGTTCAATCTTAAAATGCTGAAAATGTCGCCCAAATCGCCT